CGGTGGTTGACCGGTGTTGCTATTTTATTTTTTATTAATTTTTTAATTTTTAAAATTTAAAAAAAGGTGAGTTTTGGTGTTCAAAGTGGTGAGCTTTGCTTTATTTCCAGGTGAGCTTTACATTGGCCATTGGTGAGCTTTGCGTCATCTCACCGTAAGGTGTCATCTCACTCGAGTCAATCCCGATATATATATATATATATATATATATATATATATATATATATATATATATATATATATATATAATACTTGTTTAAAAATGATATTAGTATTTTTATTTGAATTAAAATTACTTTATATTAAATATATATATATATATATGTATATATATATATATATATCTCACTCGAATTCATCTCGGTTTATAGGATATTCCTACTTTACTTAGGAATCCCTCTCTATACCTTTTATCACTCTGCAAGCTGATCATCACAAACGAGGGGTAGCTTTATTGGAGCACTACTACTAAACAAGAGTTGAAAGAAGCAGTTATGTAAGAATAACAACTAGAAGTCGAGAGAATTTTTTTTGTTGCATGACAAACAAGCTTAAAGTGTGTTTGTTGAGTTCTTTTACAGCGAGAGTGTTGGCAATTGGAGCGAGGGTGAGGAGTTTTTTTCTCCATGTGATCTATTTCCTCTACTTTACCATCATTTTCCATTATCTCAGACTCTAGAGGAAACACATACAAATGTAGATTTCCAATTCTACGATCACACACAATTTGTTTTAGAGAGAATGAGAAAGGACGAGCGCTATTAGGCAATCTCGTCAAGATGGGTGTTGGCCATAGCACCGGTCAGTTAGCATTAAAAAGGATGGGATATCACTGGTCAGTGAAGATGAAAAAAGGAAGTAGAAGAACGGTGGCCAGTGGATACATTGTGCGGTCGACGGGAAATTAGGGCTTACGAAGAAACCCTAGCTCCAATACATAAAATTCGATAATAATTAGTCTTTATTATTATGAAGATTTCACCAATATGTATAGAGAGGGATCCCTAAGTAAAGTAGGAATATTAAATAAAATAGAATAAAATAAATATGGTAACAACATAATATGGAAAGATGTAATTCTTTTGTAATTTTCTATTATTCTATCGAACAAGAACTGGCCTCGTTGACACAAACAAACTAAAAGACAGTTGGCCTCGTTGTCTATATCAAGTTCATCATATATTTATATCCTTCCTTCATCTCGAATTCATTTACATTATTCGAACAACGTGTTTTTTAAAATAGTTTTATCTATAAACTTGTATAGAAATAAAACGTATACATGCATTCCATGTTTAAAAGCTACATCAAAACTTCTAAAAAACATGGTACAACAAAATATTGTATTCTAAAAAATAACTAATGAAAAAACACTAGTAAAGTAAAAGTTATCGAGAGAGACTCAAATAGTAAAATAAAAATTAAATCATTCTTGGAAAAGGGAGCATTTTATTAGTTCCATATGTTGTTGTCACCACGTAGTGTGTTAGTTGAGTTCTTGTAACTCCGATTGACATTACTTTTTGACAAAAGATAGATCTTATATGTTGTAGTTTTCTAGTCGTTTTGTATTAAGTAGAGCTGTAGCATCATGTCTATCATCATGTTGCTGAACCTAGTACTGTGTTATTATGTATCTGGCCTATATACTGTCACGAAGCAACCCTGCTAAATGAAAAAATCTAGGTGCTCAATGATATTTTTTGGACTTTATTTATTGATATTTCATCGTGCATAATGAAGGAGTCCTACACCTTTGGGAGTTTATTTGGAATGACTTAACTCAACAAAGCAGCGCAAGCCATGGGCCTTTTTTGTTGGAGTGGTGGGCCTTAAGTGACTTGCTAGACAAGAAGTTTCCTAGATGAACTCTGCTAGGATTTTGTTTTTCTCTATATAAGCTGCACCTAGCCTCACTAACTGATGATTCGGAAATCAGTGAGAAAATCCTAGAGGCATAACTTTAGAGAGTTCATCGCAGAGAGAGATCACACCACTTATCTATATTCTGTGATGTTTTTAAGCTTAATGTTATAACAGAATCTTCGAAGCTATCATACGATCTCATTCAAAACCTAGGATGTTTATGTTCGTCGAATCGTCTAGAGTTTGAATAGTTTGCTGATATGGAAAAAGGCTACAAGCATGTCCTTGGAGAAGGTAGCGAAAAAGGTGTAACAAGCCATTTTAGAAGGAGAAATGCTTGGTTCACAAACACAATGGTCACAAACTTCACAAATTACTATTTGTGAACTTCAATGGAAAAATTTAAATGGTCTCAAATTATTTTAAAATAAATTTTTAAACCATAAATAGTAAATTTGTGAAGTTTGTAATTATTTTGTTTGTGAACATAGCATTGCTCTTTTAGAAGACTCAAATAGGGTTTGAGTTAGAATCCATACCTAAGGCATATTTTTTCATAAACATTAGGGGATACGTTCTAATGATCTATTATTTGTAGTCGGTGAAATATGTTACATTGGTTTAGTGATGGGTTGTTACACGAACTAGAGCTTGCAAACATAAGAGAATTTGTAACACCCTAAAACCTGTCTTAGTATTATAGATTAATTTGAATAATTAATTGATTACTATTTGGGCTCGAGTAGGGGTTAAATTGTAATTTGGGTTTCTAGTTGAGAAAGTTATATTGTTCTGTAGAGTTTTCTAAGCCGCATAGACGGATCATGGATCTAAGTTGCACTGCTAAATTTACGAACCACGGGCCAGGTATTTGGACGCGATCCAATCCTAATTGAGTTGGGATTAACCTAAAAATGTACTCCGTCCCAAAAAGATTGCAACTTTATGCTAAGCAAAGAAAATTTTTGAATTTTTTCAATTCATTTTCTTTGAAGATTGGTATAGAAATAAAAAAACCTACATATTTAAAAACTACGTCAAAAGTTCTACAAAACAAAAGCTGATAAGAATATTTTATTTTATCAAATAATCAATGAAAACGTGAAAGTAAAAAAAGTTCCCGTAAATTTTGAATAGTGAAGTCTTGCAATATTTTTAGGATGGAGGGAGTATATATACATGCTACACACACACATTCCATGTTTCTTCTTTCACCGATAAACATCAGCATCACCATTGTGTATTCTTCCTCCTCTTTTCGTGTGATGTAGACTGACGAGAGAGAGAGACAAAGAGAGAGAATTAGAGCAACGGTGGACCAGGGCTAGGCTTTTCAGAGAACTTCTACGCCTGAATCCATTATCGTTCGTTTCTTAGCTCGTAGCTTTTAATTATCCAATCAAATAAGGTGAGTCGTGGTTCATATATCTAATGTTATAGTTAATTTATAAGATAGTTCTTCATGTGTATTCATTCTATCAATGGATAATTTGGTAAAGGCTTGACCGTTGAACTCATAATCAACTTTTGAATTATACGTTTGTGAATCTCACGTAGGAGTAGAAATTAGGACATGATTATTGTTTATACATGATTATTGGTGTCATTATGTCTTGTTCCAATATTTGTTCTTCGTTTTAATATGTTGAATGAGGCTTCTTCATATCCTCGGTGGTTTGACATTTATCAAAACCAGTAAAAAACTGAACATCACTTTAGTATAACGTTATCTTAAAGTGTGTTCCAACAATTTCCCCCTTTTTAATATTGGATAACAAGACGAGGATATGCAGTAAAATGGTATTGAAGTGTTTGGAAAAAGATTCCCCCGATGTTATAAAATACGGAGTATATTTTTAAGACCATGTTCCCCTTAACTATATGCATAGCCCTTATCTTTCCCCTTTTGACATTAACAAACAGATTTTAATGGAATAAAGATTATATTGAATAAGGAAAATGAGGAGTACACTATGGAAGCTGATACGGATAGTTAATTAGAATATTTTAATTAGTTATTATTATTTAGTAGTTATTTATTATTATTTATTAATATTCTATAGTTTAGGGTTTTAGTATGGGCCCGAGCCCATTAGGTCAATTAGGGTTTTCTGCGTCTTTATATATTGTAATCGTTCGTTATTATTATTCAATCAATCAATAATCAAGAATTCTCTTAATCTCTCGTCTCTCTTTTCTTGGAGCCCGGAANAAGGAAAATGAGGAGTACACTATGGAAGCTGATACGGATAGTTAATTAGAATATTTTAATTAGTTATTATTATTTAGTAGTTATTTATTATTATTTATTAATATTCTATAGTTTAGGGTTTTAGTATGGGCCCGAGCCCATTAGGTCAATTAGGGTTTTCTGCGTCTTTATATATTGTAATCGTTCGTTATTATTATTCAATCAATCAATAATCAAGAATTCTCTTAATCTCTCGTCTCTCTTTTCTTGGAGCCCGGAAACGCTCGAAGTTTTCCATCTCTCTTTGCCTCCCCTTTCTTGGAATCCGAAGACGCTCAAAGTTCTTCCCTATCCCGATAGGAATCGTACAAGATTCGTATCAATTGGTGCTCTCGTTGAGAGTAAAAAAAAACTAAAAAAAAGAGATCGAGAAAAGAATTGCTCGCCGCCATCGCCGCATCTCCATCTGCAGAATCTCCGCAATCAAACCTAGACGTTGCAAATTTATTTTACACCGCCCAAACCAAATCCGTCGCAGTGGGATCACGCCGCCGGTTGAAAAATCACTCTTAAAGGGGATTGATAGTGCATAATCATCAATTGGGGGGATTTAATTGTCGCCAATCAGTTCATCAAAGTGCAGCAACTAGAGTAATTTTTTGGAGCTTTCAAGACCAATTTGCTCATCGCATGCAGTCCATATATCTTCGTGGGCAGTAAGTCTGGAAAAAAAAGTTTTTTAGTGATATTTTTGTGTCTGGAAGTGTTTATTTTGAAAATGGACTCTACATTTGAAAAAACTCATTGATTTGCTGGAAAAAGTTCTTTATGGAGAAATTGAGCATGATGAAGGAGTGTGTATGATTTTTGATCATGTGTATGAGGTCAGTATGAAGCTCAGGTCGATCCATAATTTTAAAGGGCAAATTGATTATGTTGCGCTCGACATCGAAATTTTTTGCTCGGTACAAGATTTAGTTCGTGGTCCCCCAATTTTACCGAGTTTGATTCCGTTGGAGTTGCAAAGTTTCAAAACAAACATGATGAAGGTCATCCAGAACCTCACTAGTGCCCCACTCTCTCCACCAAATTTGGCTCTTGTGGTCACCATACAAAACACTGAGTCTCATGAAAAGGAATTAAAGGATGACTCAAGCGCCGAATCACATGTTGGGGATGTTATGGACAGTAGGCCTAAACTCATGAATGAAGAGGACGAGTGGTCCAACGCCGTTGAAAATAATGAAGGTGATATTTCAAAAGATATTGTTAATGTGGACACCGATCCGGTCAATGCCTCAACTTATGTAGTCGTTGCAGAGCTTGCCCTTCTAGAAGGTGCCAACAAGGTGGCAGATGCAGATAATAAGCATGCAGACAACCCCTTTTCATTTGACACCATTAAGTTGTTTGACAATGTTGATGCGGTCAAGACAAAGCACCTAGTTTCACCGAGAGAACCTACACTGGGTATTGGCTCTATCCCACATGTCCCTCGATTTGCTCTAAGATCCAAAATGATTGACCATTCAAAGAGTGGACTACTCCTTTGGTTCAACACTCTTTCTCCGGTCTTAAAACACGAGTGGGAGCCTCCACCTTGAGGACAAGGTGGATTTTAAGGGCGTGGGAATGACACGGATAGTTAATTAGAATATTTTAATTAGTTATTATTATTTAGTAGTTATTTATTATTATTTATTAATATTCTATAGTTTAGGGTTTTAGTATGGGCCCGGGCCCATTAGGTCAATTAGGGTTTTCTGCGTCTTTATATATTGTAATCGTTCGTTATTATTATTCAATCAATCAATAATCAAGAATTCTATTAATCTCTCGTCTCTCTCTTCTTGGAGCCCGGAAACGCTCGAAGTTTTCCATCTCTCTTTGCCTCCCCTTTCTTGGAGTCTGAAGATGCTCGAAGTTCTTCCCTATCCCGATACGAATCATACAAGATTCGTATCAGAAGCATTAACAAACATAAGGGACATGAAGAAAGAAATAGAGTGGAAAAAAGAAAAAGAGATAGGAGATTCTAGGAATTCAAGGCCTAGTCCTCATACTCGTCCTCGTTGTCCTCATCCTCTTCCTCGTCATCCTCCACGTCCATTAGGTCGCCATCAACTTCCTCATCCAAATCATCATCCAGTGAGTCCGAGGGGGCGTAAGACTCTTTGTTGTCAAATACGGTGTATTCTTGACCAAGGAAGTTATACGGGTATGGCGGTGGCAAATAATTTACACGGTCGAAGTAGGCTTGCATTGCATAGCCTTGGCGTTGAAGTGTCGTATCAATCCTCTCCATGGCACTGCTTATGTCATCAATCTTGGGGCTCAAACACCGAATAGAGTCGGCTATGGAGCGGAGAGTGGCTCGGCCAGGGGCATAAGTTTGGCATGAGGCAGGGGTGCCGCTTTCTGGCCTTTTCTTAAAGGTTTGGTCTTCAATGGTCCAAATATTCATGGCCTTGGTAAGATGCCATGTGGTGATGGTAATTTTTTTGCATTCGAGAATCTCCATTACCAAGAAGGCATAGGGCAGGATCCGATTGTGCGCGGTGGTGGCGGCGTCGGCCATGTGGATCATCACAAACTTGGCCCAATTGATTGGTGCGACGTGCATGATGGAGTGGATTATCAATCCAATCCTCACCAAACATGGTCATGTGGCTTCCATCCCGACGCTTGAGAATCCAAGCGATGATGTAGAGTAGCAGCTGGTTCTCTAGAGGGACAGATTGGATGGTCAGGCATCCGGTGGCATACCGGATGAGTTCGCTGATGTCTAGTTCTTTTATGAACAACCCTAAGTTGTTGAGCACCCAGTCTTCTACACCAAAGTAGGAGATGTCGACTCCTTGGAAGGGCAGCCCGATGATACATCTAAGCCTTTCCACGCTGAGCTCTATGAGTTCGGATCTAACCATAGAGTAAAGGATGTCTCCTTCACGCCGGAGGTACGAAGGTTGAAGTAGAATGCCCGAATAAGTTCTAGATTGAAGTTCTTCCGGGACTTGGAGACGAAGGGAAATAACCCCGATTGTTGGAGCTGAGCATCCAGGATATCGTAGCCCTTCTTGTCTAGATGGGTCTCTAGAAGAATCTGTTGGAATGCATGAGTTTAACCCCTTTTGTGTTGTTAAGTGTTGACTCACAGGTTTTGATAATTGACAAACACACTTTATTCAAGTCAAGATCAAAGTGCTACAACGACACACACGATGACTTGAAGTGTCATTCCTTGACATATTCAAGAAGGTGCACAGGATTTTATTGGAGTCCAAGACGCGTTCGGAACGCCTAATAGAGGACTCGGAGGAGTAGAAGATTTCCGAAGACTTTTTATTTATTTGAGTCTTAGGAATTATTGTAAGGATGACAAAAATATCTTCTCGCCAAAATTTATTTTTATGAGAGTTAAAATAAAATTATATTTCCTTTATCTCTGATGGAGCCAAAATTTCACCATTTTTTGGCTTTGGGGTGTGATGGAATAAATCAAAATGGATCTCTAAACTATCTGCGCTTCTCTAATTAATGAAGTAGCAGTTAATCAAGCAATGCAACTTTCGACGTTGAGCCGGGGGTCTCTTTGGAAATAGCCTCTCTACTTTCGAGTAGGGGCAAGGTCTGCGTACACACACCCTCCCCAGACCCTACTCTTGTGGGATTTAACTGGGTTGTTATTGTTGGAGTCAGTTTAACTGGATTTAACTGTTCAAAATACATTTATTGAGTCAGTTACAAAAAGTGTGTCAAACATTTATCAAAATATTTATTTTGATATTAGAAAATATTTTTAGAAAGCAAAAATATTTTGTTCAAATATTTTCGTGTTCATCGTTTGACACACAAAATAATTTTGGGACTCAATTTCTTCACTCCAAATATCTTTCTTTTATTTCAAAATTATTTTTGAATATTAATTGAGGTGATGGGGAGCCTTCCTCTGAATTTTTTGTTGGAAACACATATAAAACTCCATTTTATTCTTCCAACTCGCCCACATGCTTGTGTTGTCTAAGCAATATTGTGGCAATAATCGATTATTACCTCTGGAATTAATCGATTATCTCGTCCTGAAGGAACTAATCGATTAACACCTTTGGCTTTAATCGATTATCACTTTTTTTGCGCAGAAGGAATTTTGCCCTGGCGAAATTAATCGATTTTTTCACTTGCATTAATCGATTATGATGATGCACTAATTGATTATGGTGATGCATTAATCGATTTTTATGCTGCATTTTTCATCACAACTTCTTTTCTTGGACCAACGGATATATTTCTTCAACTCTTATTTAAACACACTTCCTTGGTCATTTTTCATAACAAGAAACACTTTAATACTCCTCATTCTTGAGGTGTTAATCCTCCATCAATCTTTCCTCAAATTTATATCATTTTGAGAGAAAACTATTTGTTGTTAAGAGAGGTTTCTTGTCATCCATTAGAGCTAAATATTTTCTCATTCCTACTCTTTTGAGAGCTATTGTTGAGAGGTTGAAGAAGAGTGTTCTTCTTGGTGTACTAGACTTATGTGACTTAAGTCTTGGGTGTAAAGTCTTGTAGAGAGCATATCTACGAGCGCTTGTGTCGAGGCTTTTGAGATTCAAGTTCTCGAGTTGTAAACGGTTTGTTAAGCACCCGTAAGCTTAGCGGAAGTAGTGGTAGCTTCAAGAGAGTCTCTCGGGGAACTGGACTAGCCACGAGGTTGTGAACCAGTATACATCGGTGTGTTCTTTGCCTTCTCTCTTTTATTTCCGCTGCACTTACGTTTATATTATTAATCCTACGAAAATCGGTAAGCATTCTCAACAACTCTATTCACCCCCCTCTAGAGTTGCACGCCTTGACTAACAATTGGTATCAGAGCGGGTATATCTAACGCTTTTTGTGACGTTTGAGAAAACGATCAAAATTTTTTTTTGAGAATGTTGAACGCAGGGATTTGAGAAGGGCAATCCACCGTAAGGCCGCCATTTTTTATGGAACAAATTACTCATATTGGAAGGAGCGAATGAGGTTTTTTGTTCAATCAAACGACTTCAAAATTTGGCTTGCTATCAAGAATGGAGATTGCTTGCCGATGAAGAAGATTGGCGATACACTCATCCCGAAGCACGACGATGAATACGATGAAGCCGACTTCAAGAAGGCTCAATTAAATGCCACCGCCATCAATTTCTTGTATTGTGCTGTCAATGCCAACGATTATCAAAAGATATCTCGTTTCCAAACCGCCAATCAAACGTGGAACAAGCTCATGATAACATACGAAGGTAGGCCTCAAGTTCGTGAATCAAAAATTGATTTACTAACCCATGAATATGAGTTATTTTCTATGAAAGAGAACGAACTTGTGGAGGACATGTTTGGAAGATTTTCAAACATCGTCAACGACCTTGATATGCTTGGAAAGACGCTCAGCGACAAGGAGATAGTGAGGAAAATCCTGCAAAGTCTTACCAAGGAATGGGAGTCACAGGTAAACTCCATATATGAAGGCCGAGATTACAACGTTATCACATACGACGGTCTTCGAGGTAACCTTATCACTTACGAAACAAATCATCTTTCTCATACTCTTGACATTAAGAAGAGAACGAGAATTGCTTTTAAAGCATCTTCTTCTCAAAAAGTAGAGATTGGTGATTCGGATTCGGATAGTGATAGTGATAGTGAGTCTAGCACTTCTTGTGATATTTTGGTTGAATGTTTTAACGAGTTTATGAAACATGAGCTTAATAAGAGCAAGAGGAAAAACACCCCAAAATGTCACAAGTGCGGAAAGCTTGGCCACCGAAAATTTGAGTGCCCGAAGCTCAAGAAGAGGAGCAAACAAGATAAATTCGCATACTTTTCGTGGAAGTATGATGAACCTTCCAAAGACGATTGCCTCATCGCTCTTGAAGAACATGATGGGGGTCGGGTACGTGACGCACATGGAAGGTGTGCTTGAAGACTACAAATTTGTAGTGGATGTTCCAAGCACTTAACTAAAGAGATTGCATCAAAGGGGAGTAAATACTATTTTTTAAATTAAATGTTATCTTTGATATTTATTTGTGATAACTGTTATTTGGGGAATATACATAGGATGTTTTGCATATAGTAAGGGGGAATTTTATTGCTATATGTGTTAATCTTTTTGTATGTTTTTTAATGGGAGATAGCATTCTTTAAGGGGAAATTATTTTATTTCCTAGAAATGCATGATTTTAGGGAGAATGTGATTTTTTTAATTGTTTAGAAATTTTTTTCTCTCCTCGGAATGCATGAGTTCTCTTGTTACATTATTTTTTATAATGCCAAAAGGGGGAAGAGTATAAGAGTATATGCTTTAATTTGTTATTTGTTGATAGCATATCCTCCATTTGTTTGTCATTATCAAAAAGGGGAAAATTGTTGGAATGCATGAGTTCAACCCCTTCTGTGTTGTTAAATGTTGACTCACAGGTTTTGATAATTGACAAACTTTATTCAAGTCATGATCAAAGTGCTACAACGACACACACGATGACTTGAAGTGTCATTCCTAGACATATTCAAGAAGGTGCACAGGATTTTATTGGAGTCCAAGACGCGTTCGGAGCGCCTAACAGAGGACTCGGAGGAGTAGAAGATTTCCGAAGACTTTTTATTTATTTGAGTCTTAGGAATTATTGTAAGGATGACAAAAATATCTTATCTCCAAAATTTATTTTTATGAGAGTTAAAATAAAAATTATATTTATTTTTGGAGTCAGTTGAAAAATCCTTTAACTGTTCAAAATACATTTATCAAAATATTTATTTTGATATTAGAAAATATTTTTGGAAAGCAAAAATATTTTATTCAAATATTTTCGTGTTCATCGTTTGACACACAAAATAATTTTGGGACTCAATTTCTTCACTCCAAATATCTTTCTTTTATTTCAAAATTATTTTTAAATATTAATTGAGGAGATGGGGAGCCTTCCTCTGAATTTTTTGTTGGAAACACCTATAAAACTCCATTTTATCCTTCCAACTCGCCCACATGCTTGTGTTGTCTGGGCATTATTGTGGCAATAATCGATTATTACCTCTGGAATTAATCGATTATCTCATCCAAAAGAAACTAATCGATTAACACCTTTGGCTTTAATCGATTATCACTTTTTCTGCGCAGAAGGAATTTTGCTCTGGCAAAATTAATCGATTTTTTCACTTGCATTAATCGATTATGATGATGCACTAATCGATTATGGTGATGCATTAATCGATTTTTATGCTGCACTTTTCATCACAGCTTCTTTTCTTGGACCAACGGATATATTTCTTCAACTCCTATTTAAACAAACTTCCTTGGTTATTTTTCATAACAAGAAACACTCCAATACTCCCCATTCTTGAGGTGTTAATCCTCCATCAATCTTTCCTCAAATTTATATCATTTTGAGAGAAAACTATTTGTTTTTAAGAGAGGTTTCTTATCATCCATTAGAGCTAAATATTTTCTCATTCCTACTCTTTTGAGAGCTATTGTTGAGAGGTTGAAGAAGAGTGTTCTTCTTGGTGTACTAGACTTATGTGACTTAAGTCTTGGGTGTAAAGTCTTGTAGAGAGCATATCTACGAGCGGTTGTGTCGAGGCTTGTGGGATTCAAGTTCTCGAGTTGTAAACGGTTTGTTAAGCACCCGTAAGCTTAACGGAAGTAGTGGTAGCTTCGAGAGAGTCTCTCAGGGAACTGGAGTAGCCACGAGGTGGTGAACCAGTATACATCGGTGTGTTCTTTGCCTTCTCTCTTTTATTTCCGCTGCACTTACGTTTATATTATTAATCCTGTGAAAATTGGTAAGCATTCTCAACAACTCTATTCACCCCCATTCCTCTAGAGTTGCACGCCTTGACTAACAGAATCCTCGGAGTAGCCACTGCCCGGTTGGTGAAGTAGGTGAGAAACTGGGTAAGTTCCACCTCATTTTTGAACATTAAGAATGATCCATCGAGGTAGTTGAAGCGGGCCTCGGTGAAGCTCGTGGTTGCCTTGAACTTGCTCTTTGATTTTCCGGTCTTGGCCATTGCAAGAGTTTGTGATGAAGAGCTTGAGAAGAGGGAGGATTATTCCTAGAATATCAATCAAAATGATTTCTATGAGTGATAAAATGATGAATGTGCATGTGAATATATATAAATGGAGAAAAAGAGTCGTTTGGAATTAAAAAAATATAGCTGTTGGAGCATTAATATTTGTGCTCAACGAATATATTTTTGAAAAACTACGATCTGAACATCGATGTTCAACGAGCAACATTGTTGTTGCTACATCGATGTTCAGTCCCCTTCATCATTGTTTGACGATAAGATTTAAAATTTGTTAAAAATAGCATCGATGCAGAAACGCGTACATTGCTGTTCCAAAAGGATATGAAAAAGAATTAAAATAGAAGAACTCCTTAGCTTGTAACATCGATGTTGGATACTCAACATTGCTGTTGAAAAACATTCTAGAAGTGAGCTGAAATGCAGTGACTGCCTGTAGGTGTAATGTTGGATATTCAACATCACTGTTAAAAAACATTATGTGTAAGGCTGGCTTGGCGTGGTTTATTGGAACATCCTTGTTGGTTCCTAAACATATATGTGAACGAACCACTGTATTTTTTTTAGAGTAGACTACATGTACCCCATATTTGTATCCACTTTATACCCCAAAGCATTATCCTGACATTAAATGTATGTGCAACACTGACATAATACTAGTTTTGCACCTACATTTAATGTCAGGATAATGTTTTGGGGTACAAAGTGGGGTATAAATATGAGGTATATGTATCATTTTTCTTTTTTTAAAATTTAATGCAAAACTTTGAAAAAACAAGCATAATGCCAAACGGCCCCTTAGAGAGTGTGGCCCGTTGAGTAGGACAGGATTCACGAACAACACTGCTATCGGTTCGGGCAGGAGATGTTCCGCTCCGCCAAAATTTATTAGGTGAAATAATTTAGTACTCCGTATAATTCTTTTTTTAAAATTTAAATCGAGAGGATCCAAGAATTTGTTTTATCTTAGAGTATTATTGTTGCGTATTTTTATTCCTCAGCTTTATTTCTTTCTTTCTTTCTTTCTTTCAATTCTGTCCTCTTTTTTCTTCTCTCCTCTGAGCTCACTCACTCACTCACAATTCTCTGCTTGTCCGTTGGGAGACTGCAAATCTCTGAGCGTTAAGCTCTCTCTCTCTCTCTCTCTCTCTTCACACGCTCGCATTTTCTCTTTCTCACGCTGCAATGGCGTAACATGACCGCAACACTGCTCTTTTCACACCGCCGGGCATGAATCCCACCGCCACGGACCCAACCCAACCGCCGCCGCCGGCGCAGCCTCCGCGGTCCTCTTTTAGTTGCAACCGCCACCCGGACGAGCAATTCACCGGCTTCTGCCCCGAATGCCTATGCGAGCGCCTCACCACTTTAGATCAGTCCGCTTCCAACAGTAACAACCCTTCTTCATCCTCTCGCCGTCCGTCCACCTCCTCCAGTTCCGCCGCTGCAGCTTTCAAGTCCCTCTTCTCGAAATCCTCCGCCGCCGCACCGGCTTCCAGTTCTCTCCCTCCTCCCCCGCCCAAACCTTCCAAAACCTCATCATTCTTCCCCGAGCTCCGCCGTACAAAGTCCTTCTCTGCCTCGAAGAATGAGGCGCTGGGCTTCGCTGCAGCGGCCTTTGAGCCCCAGCGGAAGTCGTGTGACGTAAGGATCCGTAGCACCCTCTGGTCTCTCTTCTCCATTGATGACGTAACCAGACCTTCCACTTCACAAAACCCTCCTCATTCCAACGAGAACTCTAGCGATTTTGTCAATAAACCCGTTCTCGAGTCCAACGAGGAGGAGGAAGGAGAAGAGGAACTCGATGATGACCAGGTCTTCTGCGAAATCACAAATGAAAGCCATGTGATTGAAGAAATCACCGAGCTTCCAGAATCTCCAAAAAGTGAAAACCCATTCGATAGAGTCCCTAATTCTGAAATTGTAGAGGAGGGAGGTTTCGAGGAGGATGTATTGAAGCCGATGAAGGACCATATAGATCTAGATTCACAGGTGAAGAAGCCTTCCGGGGGAAGCTTCTGGTCTGCAGCCTCGGTTTTCAGCAAGAAGTGGCACAAATGGAGACAAAAACAGAAGCCCAAGAAGCCAAACGGGAGCCAAGGCTCAGCTACTTTGCCTGCAGAAAAGAAGCTGCTCTCGAGGCAGTACAGAGAGACCCAATCTGAGATTGCAGACTACGGCTTTGGAAGGAGGTCTTGCGATACTGACCCGCGGTTCTCACTGGATGCCGGGCGGATCAGCTTTGATGATCCAAGGTACTCGTTTGACGAGCCTCGTGCTTCTTGGGATGGGTATTTTGTAGGGAGGACTTTCCCAAGGATGGCTCCTATGGTCTCTGTGGTGGAGGATGATGCTCCTCCAATGGTGGTTAGTGCTTCGCGTACAGATTCTCAAATCCCAGTTGAGGAGCTGCCTTCCATTCTGATGAACTCCATGGATGATGACGACTCCCTGCCAGGGGGCTCTGCACAGACAAGGGATTTCTATGCAGATTCATCCTCAAGAAGGCGAAAGAGTCTTGATAGGTCTGGGTCAGTTAGGAAGTCGGCAACAGATGCCCTGGCTGCTGAGATTGATGAAATGAAAAGCATTTACAGTACTAAAGCATTGACCGGGGGAACAGACTATAGCCACGGCTCAAAGGTGTTGACTGGCGATAGAGACTCAAACTCCAACTCTTTGAGGGACGATTGCTCTGAGACGTTTGAGCTCACAGGCTTCAGAGACAATGGTTCAGTGATTGACAATGGGGAGCGAAAGGGTTCGAAGAAGTCAAGGAGATGGGCCTGGAATATACTAGGTTTCATATACCGGAGAGGTGGAGGGATCAAAGATGATGAAGATGAGAGGTACAACACCAGACCAAATGGGGTGGATAGGTCATTCTCGGCTTCCTGGCAGGACCTGAGAAGGGAGAGCAGTGTTGACATGAGAGGAGGAGGGGGGGTGAACAATAAGAAGGTGTTCAGGAGCAACAGCAGTGTGGCCTGGAGGACATCATCAGGCCATATGGGTGGATCCTTTGGGTCTGCAAGGAAACCCAGTGTGGAGGTGAATGGGAATAATGGCAAGAAGGGGAAGGAGGATTTCGTGTTGGAGAGGAACCGGAGTGCTAGGTATTCCCCCAACCATTTCGACAATGGTCTCTTGCGCTTTTACTTGACACCCCTAAGTGGCAGTCGGCGAGGGAAAAACAACAGGAGAAACGCAACACATTCCTTTGCAAGGAGCATCCTTCGAATGTACTGAGATCCACCAAGGTCTTATTGTTGTTCTTTTCTTGATAACTTTTTTTTTTTTAATTTTCTGCTGCATTGTTATCAATTGTCTCCTTGGAGGGGCCTAATTAGGCCTGTGCATTTGCAATCTACATGAATCTTTGGTATTTCCAATAAGAGCGAAATTCATTACTTGGTTCTCCATCTTCCCGTTTTGGCAACTTCATTTCCGGGTTCATTTGCTATGTACCTGTAGTGTAAACTTCTTCTCTAACAATTTTCTTTCATTCTCTACCTGAATTGCAAAAGCTACTGATATGTAACTTATTGGTGCTGTGATTTTGATCTGACTGATTTTCAACTAAGACATTACAAGTATTAGACTTAAAGTAGCTTTCATTCTTTGTGCTTTTTTCACTCTTATATTAATGAAGTCCTTTATGTTGAGTTCTTAGTGAAAATGCTTATTTTTTGTTTTTTTGCTTCTTCTAATTTCTTTCCAGTAGAAGAGCTGCTGATGGAAAGGCCACATTTACTTGAACAACTGACTGAGCTGTGAAAGATCTGAACAAGTCAGAAGAGGAATGAGAGAATGAAACAGAAGCTGGAAAAATGATTTGTGAATTCCCTCTGCACTGCCATCAACTAACACACACTTATAAATATATATATATATTTATATATATATATATATATATATATATATATGTATACATCACTGAATTGGGAAGTTGGGTAGCTTGAAGGGATTGTGATTTTCTATTCCAAAAACTTGTATTCCAAACGGCGATCTGATGACTCACTCTTGGATTGTCGCCACGTATATTTATCGGGGTATAGTGGTATTATTATCAAAATACGCCCGGCTACAATATTAGAGTTCAAATATGATGTATATTTTGGTTGTTCCCATTCCACAAACTATGAAAACTCTTCTTCAATCAGACTATATATATATATATATATATATATATATATATATATATATATATATATAGAAGTTTGTTCATGTTTGTCAATGGTATTATAATAGTTCCAGTTTCTTTACTTGGTACCTGAGGTGTGTTTCCATTCTGAGATTTATTTTCAGTAGACCAGTTGGGTGCATGTATGTTTGAAGGATATAGGCCAAGTTTGGGGACTTCGTTTTTAATTAGCATTAACATTTTTGATAATTTTTTCAATGATGCAGATTAACTTTAAGAAGTATAAGAACATTAAAGGATTATTTTCAAAGTGATAGAGTTAAACATTGAAGATGTTGCTAAGTGCGCACACAAATGCACTCGACACATCCAGTCTCCAAATGGTAGTTTAGCTCTAAGTGTTCTTTTGTTCTAAAAATATCCTTCATCTTTTATATAACAAAGTACCGACATTTTTTCTTAATATTCTCAAACTCTTTAAACAACAAACTTGTAATTAATTATAGAATAAGTTCAATGAAAAATTGTTTATAACAGAGTGTTTTCCCGCTATAATCTTGAATTTTAATGAATTATATTTGTTATATTTGAGAAATATTATATAATCACTCCTATGAATCCAAATATATTTTTTTACATATAGTCTACAAATGACTGATTTTGAATGCTCATATATTTTCAAACATAAAAGATTACAAACATGATATTTTAAAACTTAAGGACTTTATATATAGAAAACATCATTTTATAATAGACTATTTATACGGGGTAGAATTTAATGTTAGTTTTATCTCACAAATGCAACCGTTCAAACCACATAAAATTCAAAACTAAAGAAAAATTACTCCGTAACAATTACTGTAACAACGATGCTTACGCCAAATCAAATGATTGGGTAAAAATAGCCTAAATAACAGTACTCAGGTAAAGGAGAGTGCGTGAAAAAAAAAGGAGGAACAAGAAGAAAGGTGTAATGTAATGATTAAAAAATCAAGTGGGGAGGGCAGATTTTTTTTCTTTCCTTTGGATTGGGAAATCAGTGGAATCAAAAACCCACTAAGTAATAACCATATTTTTTTTTAATTTTTTTCTTTGATCATTATTTTCTGCTTTTACTCTCTTTTGTGTTGGCACCTCCGTGGGAAAAGCTCAATGATCAAAATATGCTGAGGCATTAAAGTCAAAAGGTGACAAAAAAGAAAAAGAATGCGCTCCCAACATGCTCCCCCCTCTTTCAATTGCTGTATAGGAAAAATATACTTAAAAAAAAAGGAGAGAGATGGAAAAAGAAAAAGCGGCTCGAAATCCGAGGGCGTGCCATTGCCAGGTAATGACATGAATTGCAACGGTACTCTTATACTCCATCCGTCCTAAAATGTTCTTCCCATTTACTTTTCACACGGTTAAATTTTAATTACTTTTTTACCTTTTTTCATTAGGTATTTGATAAAATAATATAGTTTTGTCACCACTTGTTTTATAGAACTTTTGATGTAGTTTTTAAATATATACGGAGTAAATTTTATTTTTTAATTTTACACTTACAATCAAATAAATTGAATTGAAAATAAAGTCGGTCAAACCCCGTAAACAGAACCAGGAAGAACAAGAACATTATAGGCAGGACGGAGTATTTAGTATCACAACCGGAAGTTGATGTATAGGCAAGGATACGAAGAGTGTTTGAATAGTTTAAAAGGACCATGCTACACTTACACCAAAAAATATACCCCATTTGTACACCACAGGTTTGCACAAACATTTCGATGGTTTACACCGACACAAGTGTTGGTGCGTTAATAAAAATTCACACGGACACAAATGTTGGTGCATTTAACAAAAATTAGTTTTACACCAACACAAAGTGTTGGTGCAAAACTGCGGGATACAAATTGGGGTACAAAACTTGGGGTACACATAGCATAATCCTAGTTTAAAAATGTGATTTTGTACATTGTTTGTATAGTGTAAAAGAATTTTGGAATAGGAGTAATTTTTTAACAAAATAGTTTAAACACAATATCGGATACACTGAAGTGGTGTGTTCTACACTTCTACTCCCTACATTTCATAATGAATGCCACACTCAGAACAAAGTGTAAAACTTTATCATTTTTAAATCGATTTTAATAACAAATTGGTATAAAAGTAAAAGGTAATAAGGTATTATATACTCCGTATATCATACCATTCAAAAGTACATAAAAAGTTGTACTCCCTCCGTCCCAAAATGTTTGCCACATTCCACAAATCGAGGCAAACTATCAATTTTTTTCAATTGATTTTATTTAAATATTGGTATAGAAATAAAAAATAAAATTTACATTTTTAAAAACTATACAAAAAATTCTTTGAAGTAAGAGGTGTCAAGATATATTTAATATAAAATTTAATATATTTTATTTTCTCAAATAATTAATGAAAACATACAAATAGACAAAAGTTCCTGTTATGGTCGGAAAAAAAGAAATGTGACATTCTTTTTTAGACGCGGAAAGTATAAAGTAAGAGGCGACGAAAATATTTTATTTTTATTAAATTATCAATAGTAAGAGTGTTACCTATTTTGAAATGGAGGGAGTAAATTATATTGGACATGATTGCCAATATTTCTTCTTTTTCTTTCATTTTTCAGAAAAAAAGAGAGAATTGAAAGCATTTAAAATAAATTTATACATTTAAATGTCACAACCCATTCACGTCAAATAGCATCTAGACAAAATTCAAATTATAATACTTCGACATTCATTTACCATTTGTCCTTCAATACATGATTTTCATTTATTACCTTTATGAGTTATTACATACAGAGTACTCTGTATGTCTCTACCTCTCTCACTTTTTTGAAATTATAATCCTTCAACATTCATTTACAATTTGATCCTAAAATATAAACTTAGTTGAGATAAACAAGGTCGATTAATTGTTGCAAAACAACCGGGGAGGTTTCACGATCGGCACCCCAAGTGTCGTCAAGACGTTGGGTATCCAACAAACCTCAACACAGGCATTGGCCATTGCCCTATACTCGGCTTCTACAAAGGAACGAGAAACTATGATCTATTTTTTAATTTTTCAGGAACCGAGGATCCCCCAAAGTAATGAAAAACCCACTCATAGAACACCTGATAAGAGAAAAGCTTGCCAAAATGGAATCACAATAGGCAGTAATTTGTAAAGTGCTATCACTCTTTAAAAGATTGAAAACCTTGTCATGGGTGCCTTTTAATGTACCGTGGAACCCGCATAGTAGCAAAAAGGTGATCAACCTTAGGTGTCTGCAAAAAATGAGACAAAAATGGACAGAGAACGTCAGATTAGGCCGAGGTAAATGAGGCGGCCTACTACATGCCGATAGCGTGTAGGATCACGCAACACGCCACTTGCCAATCTCCTTAGTCAGTGATTTTCTAAATCAGTGTATCCACGGGCTTACATCCCAATAGACCGGCTTCAGATAAAATATCCAAAGCATATTTGCGTTGATACAACATTGTCCTCGTCGATGAACGTGCACATTCAATCCCAAGGAAGTATTTGAGAGGACCAAGATCCTTCAAATGGAAATAGTTATGTAGATAACGTTTGAAAAAAGAGCACAAAGTGTGGTTATTTCCTCTGACAAGGATATCATCAAAATAAATATAAATAGCCAAAGTATCAGGTCCACGGTGCATGCAGAAGAGAGTGTGATCCTTGTGTGCCTGACAAAGATCATATTGACGGAGAGTAGTGGTTACTTTTCAAACTAATTATGGGGCAAATGTCTCAGCCCGTACAGTAACTTTCGTAAAACACATAGATTCCCTGGATAGAGATGTGAATAGCTTGGTGGTACTTTCATATACACTTCCTCTTGAAAATTGCTATGAAGGAAAAGCATTATTCACGTCAAGTTGATGGATCTCCCAATTTTTCGCCACGGAAACTAACTGAAGAATACAAACCGTCCCCATTTTTGCAACACGGGAAAAAGTGTGTGTAAAATCCATATCCATCTCCTAATGATTGCCCAAGACGAGTAATCTCGCTTTGTTTCATACCTTAGAGCCATCGGAACGAAATTTTGTCCTATACACCTGCTGACATCCTAATGCATAACAACATGGGGAAACGCCAATGATATCCCAAGTATGATTATTTTAATTTCCAGTGTTGTAATTTCTTATTGTATAGCAACACGCCAAGTCACGTGTTGAACAGCATCCCAGAAAGAAGTAGGAACGTCAGTAGTAGTAATTACTACTAGAAATTCATGTAATCCAACCTAAAGGGTTTTATTTTGAGCGAAAAAGAGAGTTATCGGAATGGACTTTGTGACAAACATAATCAGAGGGGTAACTAACAAGACAACAAACACGCGGAACACATTGACCAGTGGCTGCACTAGTTGGAATAAACGCGGCCAAAGGAATGGTTGCCAAGTACTGCTCATCTTGGGATGAGAATGGAGACAACGAGGCGGTAGGTGTAGACGACTCAAAGGCCAAGGACGAAGAAGAAGTTGTCTGTGGTGAAGATGGGAGCGAGGTAGTTGTGACTAGCGTTGGTGGAGATGTAGATGGCTGGTTAGGGATAGGGGTGGGAAGTCGGCGTATGTGTTTGGGTAGGTGAATCAGCAAATTTTTGTCGATAGGAAAAAAGAAAAATAGATTCATCAAAAGAGATATCTTTAGGATAGAAAAAACATTGTGACTCAAGATCAAATACACGCCACCCTTTTGTACCTGTAGGATAACCAAGAAAGACAATTTTGCGATTCTTGGTTCAAATTTGTTTAGGGGGGCGTTGTATACGATGAATGAAGCATAGACAACCGAATGCGCAGAGATGGCTAATATCAGGAGGTTTGGAAATTAATATATCATATGAGGTTTTTCCACCACGAAAAGGTTGTATCCATAATGCCTCTTGTGCTTCCTCTCATCCTCATCTAGGTCTTCACTTTCCCTACCTACATGTCCTTTGACTGTCTTCCGGCCATCCCCACTAGTAATGACAATGGGCTAAATTGACTTTTCTTAGATACGACCCTCAGGGGCTGGTGCGGATGGACCCAGCTAATACTCTTGCGGCAGTAGTTCTCTAACTATGATATGGTGCATGTCCCTTTTTTCAGAGTAATGCACTCTTTAGTAATATGGGTGCTATTATGATGGTATTTGCAATATTTAGGCTTGCCCTGCATCATGAGGCCTTCCCCCTACTGCGGAGTGACGAGGGGAAGACATTGAAAGAAGCTAATTGATGCTCGGTCCGCCTGGAACGATCGCCGCAGGAGTCTTTTTGATCACTGTAACCTTTTCCTAGATATCTTCTCCATGGTCCTTCAAGGCAAAAAAAATTGGCCGTTACTATATTTTGTCAGTCTAAAAAAATTCAACTTCCTATTTTAGAAATAATTTTGTGACCTGTATACTTTTTTTCATCTGCATCACTTTTAACAATACAATTTGTTAATTTTCTACCAAGATGTAGAACCGACAAAATAGCTCTGTGTCAATCAACGAGCCACACCATATAATGTATTTCTTTTTTTTTTGAGGAAAAGTATAACATCTCAATTAGAGTGAGTAGTTTGATTCAATTTTTTTATGGGAGACATCACTTTTAAGGACCAACACGAGTATGAATCCGAGTCAATTTATTTTGGATAAAGCTATTTGTACCCCAAGAATTTGTACTCCATTTTATACACTGCAGAGATGCACCAACATTTTGTACTGGTGTAATGCTAATTTTTGTTAACACACCAACACTTTGTGTTGGTGTAAATTTTTGTTAACGCACCAACACTTAACGTACCAAATTTTAGAGTACATGTAGCATGCTCCATTTATTTTACTCATCAGACAAATCAACTACTCCGTATCATATTAAATGACATACGTATCAGATCGGTTGACACAATTTCTGCATTCATTGGGAATTCAACATAGTGAGATGCACTCGAATAAAATTTACCTCTAAAAGAAAGCTCATAAACACAACCCCGACGGCAAGTCAATGTAAAATATGTTGCAGAGAATTAAATTTACGTCTAAAAAAAAAAGCAAGCTGATCCTTAGTTAATAACAAAAAATTCTGGCGGGAGGAATTTGTCACAGAATACAATTAACCCCATGTCTAAAGCAGGACAACACATGGAGAATGGTGGTTCTGGAATGGGAGAAATGGTTGTTTAGAGATCAATAACTCGCGAAAGCTTTTGGATCCGGTTCAACAAGAAATCCCCTTGTTTGATGGTAGCCTGGTATAGAGCATTCTTAGCATCAGGTCGGTTTGTTTCTAACACGCCCGCAACTTTGTCAATTTTGCAGTGTAGCTTCCCGGCAGCAATGAAACGGGATAGCTCCCTGTGGAAAAAAAAACAACCAAATAAGAGACAATTTGGAACGAAACTAATGAACCAATGCTATGTGTCTGTGACAAGTCTAAAAAGGTTTCAACTTACATATCAATGAAGTCCTCTGACACGCCAAATGCATTAGCCATGGCTTCAATTGTGACACTTTTGTAGGATTCCAAGAACTGGGAGTAAACAACAGTTCGCACCTCCCTCATGTAGTAGCGGAAGTGTGGGTGCAAATAACGATCCAATTTGATATGCTCCATTATACCAGCTATACACCCATAAAAACTAATTAGGCAACCGCACAAGGTCTTGGAGAATAGCAGTGATGATATGGTCTATATGCATAAATACTAAGGAGTAAATCAGATCCAGTTATAATATGACTGAAATACAAGACATTGCTATTTGCTAAGTTAGATGCACATGTGAGATTTTCAATTTTAACTTCTTAATTCACAACAAAGATGTCTGTACCAAGAACAATTAATCTACTCAAGTGAGAAGATAGTAACAATGTACCGCATCTATATTATCCAATATATTTCCAAAAAAGGAAAGAGAAGGAAAATTATTTTGGGCCAAATTAAAAAGGAAAGTGAAAAAAAACATATGTGGCATAGAGGGGGTATAAGGATTCCACGCACAACCATTGCAGGTTAAAGTTAAAGAAAGCATTAGAATATCATATTTTGCAGGAAGAAGGCCTAGACACTAGGCGCCCCTAGGCCAATTCAACAACTTAGCTCTATCTTCTCAAAAAAAAAACACTCTTGGATGATTTCTTTCCTTATTTTACCCATTGTAGTGTGCCCATATATCCAACATACACCTTCCAGTAACCTTAATCTTCATAACATGTGGTTATATTATGTTTAAGTATTTATTTTATATATATATAAACAACTGGTGTAAGCAACTGGTGTATAAGTAACTAGTATCATTTTAGACGTTCATACATACATACATACATACATACATACATACATACATACATACATACATACATACATACATACATACATACATACATACATACATACATACATACATACATACATACATACATACATACATACATA